GAGAAGTCTGGTAGACACCCCATAACTAAAGTAAGCTGGCACCATGTGACTCCTTGGGTGATGACTATTAAGGATGCGTCATCACTGTGAATAATTCTTGCTACAGAAGCTTAACCTAAAAGCAATCAAGGGGTCAGCAAACTATTGGTCATATATGACCTCTGCCTGTTTTTGTGCATCCCCTGAGCTGAGAATGACTTTTGCATTTTTAAGTGGTTCGAAAAATCGAAGGGAGAATAATACTGCTTGACATATGATAATTAGGGTAAATCCAAATTTCAGTGTCCATAAATAAAGTTGTATTGAAGCACAGCGATGCTCCAGGGGCTTTCGTATTGTGCGTGGCTGCTTTCACATTACAATGAGGGTTGAATAGTTGCAACAGATACTGTATGATCTACAAAGCCAAAAATATTTACTTGGCTTTATAGAAAGTTTGCCAATCCCTGCTCTCGACCTGACTTCCAGGTACAAGATACACAGAGCTTAGAGGACTAAGGTAAACAGCGTTATGAGGGGAACTTCAAACTCATCTACAGTGTGAAACATCCTATGAGAACACTGGACTGGTCACTTTAAAAAGTTGCTGCCATTAAAAAAAAGGGGGGCAGGATGGGGGGGGTGACTGTTCTATACTGAAAGAGACCAAAGAGACATCACTACCAAATATAGTGTGTGAACCTTGGTTAGATATTTTTGGAGAAAAACCCACTAAAGCCAGTAGTGGTTGATGTGTTTTTCTCTTTCTCTCCTAGATTTCCAGCTCCAGTAGGGCAGGAGTTTTGTCTCTAAGTCTACCCAGCACCTTGCAAGTGCCTGGCACCTAGTAGGTGCTTGATAGACGCTGGTGGCAAACAGGAATGAAAGAAGGAATCACTTTCGCTTGAGGGACGGGGATGACCTCACAGAGGAGGGAGTGTCCGAGTGGGTTCTGAAAGATAAATAGGAGACTGCCCACAGGAGAAACTTCTAATAGAGCCCCCCGCTCAATGGCTCTGGGGCCAGGGATGACACCCATTCTGTGGGCCCAGACAGCAAGCAGAACTCTGGCTGGTGGGTGGAAGCTCAGGCAGACAAGCAGAGTTTCAGCTCAAGAGCAGAGGAAGAACGGTCAGGACAGCTCAGCAGCAGAATCGTTGGTCTCAGGAGGCGCCAGAGTGAGCAGGTGGAGGAAATCCACATGTGGGCAGGGGGTGGGCCTCCATGGGGATGCACAACCAGTCCCACCACCAAGCCTTTGCTCCATGGTGCTCCCCATGTGGTGGCCTCTCTCCTCTTTTTCTTTTTTTTTTTTTTTTTTTTTTTTTTTTTTTTGCCCATGCTCAGCCTTCTAGGCAGGTGGTATTTTCTCCCTTCTCTGAACCTTGAGCATTTCTTGTCTGCACCGTAGGGGGCGTTTCACATGCTTGGCCTTTTATGGGCAGGCACGTCTTCACCTAGTTAAGAGGCAGGACCTCTGACCCACTGTATGACCTTGAGAAAGTGCCTGTCTCTGCCCTTCTGTTTCCTGATCTGTACAAGGATAGGGTAGGACAAGACGTCCAATGAGGGCTGTTCAATCTCCAGATGCCTTGCTTGAAGTCTGCCTGGTCCTCTTGGCCTGCATATAACTGGGGACTCCTGGAGGACAGGGAGGGTACTGGCTGAAGCCCCTCTGCCAGGACCCCCAGGAAGGGACCCGACTCATCTCTGCACAGCACAGGAGCCAGGGGTGGCTGTGGGGTGTGTGGTGATCCTCTGACCTCCTTCCTTGTCAAAGGCAGCGTGGGTCATTCAGGCCCCACAAGTTACTAACTGTGTTGTCTTAGGCAAGTGATTTGACAATTCTAGGCTTTAGTTTCTACATCAATAAAACCAGAACAGTAATAGCTATCTTCCAGAATGTGGAGTAAAAGAAATGATGGCTTTGAAAGCACCTTTACCAGATGTACAAAGAGCCATCAGGAGCCAGGGAGGGAGGTCTGATCAGTTTTAGAATCTTTCCCACCGCTCCTTACCCTAGTCCCTCCATTCTCATAAGGTGATTGATGCAGGGAGAAATAATAAATACTTTCTATGTCTAAAGCAGGCCCAGCACATAGTAGGCGCTCAAATGTTTGTTAAAAGAAAGATTCATTCTATAACCACTATCTCGCGTGAGCCTTGAAGCAAAATGGGAAGGGGCAAGATAATGGTTTTCTCTGCTGCAAGGGTAAAGCCACTGCAGCTCAGAGAAGTAAAGCGACTTGGCAAAAGTAACACAGAAGAGCTGGGTTTGGAACCTAGTACCTTCTGCTTACAGAACCCATAATTGAGATCCCCTCCCATGCAGCCATCTGTGGTCAGGGACTTGCCAGGCTCTGCCTATACCGTCACATAAGGGCGACCTGGTGGGTGGCACTTGGACAGACACAGAGCAGGGCGGGTATGCTCCCCCCCAATCCAGGGGCTCAACTCTGCTCTTTGGTGGCCCAGAAGTATGCTCCTTGGACAGAGAGACAGCTTGGCCTTGGCTCAGCTGCCCATTTGTCAACAGATCCATGGAGCCACAGGACAGGTGTCCCAGAGCAGGACAGTGGGAAAACTGTCACAGTATGGGGCTGTCTGAGACTGTGGGACTGCCTCTGGGCAGCTGACCCAGCCAGGGGGCTCATGACAAGTTGATGTGAGAGGTCAGGGGTATGCCACCCCAGGGCCTAGGTGCTCCCAACTTCTGTGAGGACTACCATGTTTCCGGTTAGTGGGGCTCTTATCCTGGGGTGGGGGGAGTGTTTCTAGAGGAGGGCAGTACTTGGCTGGGAGCACCACGGGGAAGGCAGTGGAGCCATCTCACAGATTCCTCCCACCAGGGGTGTTGACGTTGGACTTCACTGATGTCCAGGAGCCGTCTGAAGCCCCGGAGGACGTGAGAACCAGCAGGAGCTGACTCAAGTACTACCACTGTCCCTGAGGGCAGGACAGAGCATTATGGAGGTGCTGGGTTTCAGAGTAGGCCTGGAGTGTTCCTGAAGGGGCAGCAAGATTTTCACTAGGAGCGGAGAGCTCTAATGGGAGGGAGGACTAGAGTACTAAAGTGAGGTGCAGAGTATTAGGCGTGTTGGTATGTTTCAGGGGGACTGGGGTATGAAAGTTGGGGCACACATTTTAAAGTTGAGCTACAGTTGGGGTGCCTGGATGACTCAGTCGGTTAAGCGTCCTGACTTCAGCTCAGGTCATGATCTCACGGCTCATGGGTTCGAGCCCTGTGTTGGATTCTGTGCTGACAGCTCAGAGCCTGGAGCCTGCTTCGGATTCTGTGTCTCCCTCTCTCTCCGCCCCTCCCCTGCTCCCATGCTGTGCCTCTCTCTCTCTCTCTCTCTCTCTCTCTCTCTCTCTCTCTCAAAAATAAAAAATAAACATTGAAAAATTTTAAAGTTGAGCTGGAGCCTCACAGCAGGGTCTGGAGTACTTCAGAGATGATGGACTCTGGTACAGTGGGGGTTACAGGACTTCACTGAGGGCTGGGTTATTTCACAAGGTGTGAGAAGATTATGGGGAGTGAAGAAGATTTGGAGTATCTCAGAGGAAGGCTGGAATATTACAGAGGAGGCTAAAGTCTCCTGGGAGAAGCTCGATTATTTGAGGGAGCAGGGGTACTTCAGAGGGGGCCGGACTCTTTTACTTGGTGCAACAAGATTGTCTCAGAGGTGAGCGAGTATGGTGCTGGGGATGGTGTGTGACCCTGAGGTTGTCCGGAGAGCCCCCTTAGCCCTGAGTCTGTAGTCCAAGGATTCCAGGGGCGTCCCTGGGAGTCCAGGCTCGTGCTCTCCCCTGCCTCGTCCCACGGCAGGCCATCACATCCATTTCAGCCACCAGCAGTCCTGACGTATGGGCTATGCTGGTGACCGTGGCCCTGGGAGCCAATGTCCGCTGTTGACTCCAAGTCAATGACACCAAAGAGAAGCCAGTCCCAGTGCAGAATCCTGCCTGAGCTCTGGGGCTTCCAGATAAGGGTCAGGCCAACTTGACCATTCCTCTGCCGCTGGGCAGGACTTCCTTCCCCTCTTCAGCAGCCCTCTCCCAAGAGGTGAGGTAGGGGGCATTGATGGACACAGACCCTTCTGGTTCCAGGGGTCTCTGCAGTCTAGCCACAGTCCCTTCTGCACTGATGGGGGAGGGCATACTTATTTCCTGAGTATGGGAACCCTGTTGGGGTAGGGGAGCCTACTCTCCTGCAGCCCGTGAGATCTGAGGCCCTCGGGGGGCCAGGAGCGCTCAGTGCTCCAGAAGGTGTCGGTAGGTGGTGGGCGGAAGAGTGTGTACCAACTCTGGGTGGCCTCAGGCCCTCAGGGGCCAGTTCCTGTTTGTCCTACTATGTACAGCTTCAGCTACCTACTGGGCTGTCACTTCACCAAGTCTCAGCTGGACTATGCCAACTTCTCCAACTGCTACACATGACACCCTCCCCCTTCCAAAGGGCGAGTGGCCCCAGCTCACTTAACATGGGACAGAGCCCCAGACACCCTCCGTGCCCGAGCACCCACATTTCTACCTTCTGTGTCCACACCCCTGGCCGCACACCCTGTACAATGAGGCGGCACAATGCTGTGGTTTCTCATCCAGCGTCAGGCCTGGGGCTGGTATCTCGCCTCTCTGAATGCCCTGTGTCTCCATCAAACTGAAGACTATCCTCTTACCTCCCCCCTCCCCACCCCCCAGCAGATTGAGGCTCCCTGGGAATGGAGAATTGGGGGATGGGGGTGGAGGGCTCCCGACAGTCCTCTAGGCCTTACCAGAATGGGAAGAAAGAATGCAAATACTGTCTCTGAGACAGCTAGGTCAGCCTGGCCTGGCATATGCCCAACCTGGAGTCCCTGCCAGAGGAAGGAGAGAAGAAAGGGAAGAGGGATCACCTTTTATTGAGCATCTACTACATGCCAGGTCCTATTCTAGACATTCTACATGCATAGAGTTTCTGTTCATTTTTTTAAAAATTTTTATGTGTTTTTTTTCATTTTTTAAAATTTAGTTTTGCCGTTCCTCACTGCCCTCCAAGTCCCGCTGTAGCCATTGCCTCAACCACGATGCCGAAAGGAAAGAGGCAGAGTCAGCAGCAGCCGCCTCCACCGCAGCAGCCCCCGCGGGAAGAGACTGGAGACGAGGAGGATGGGAGTCCCATAGGACCACCCAGCCTTCTGGGCCCTCCCCCCATGGCCAATGGAAAGCCTGGTGGCCCCAAGTCAGCCCCACACTGGGATCCACCCACATGTCCACCATCAGTAGAATGGATAAATAAGTTG